TATGTTTATATGTATAAAAATGTGATGCTGGAAAATTTGGTGATCAAAAGTATCTTTCTTTGGTGATCATTTGTATCTAAAGGCGTTTGGTGATCAAAAGTATCTTTTTTTGGTGATCAAAACAATTTTTAACAGTTTTACAGTTAACTGTAACTGTTACATACCTGTCTATTCTCGAGTCTTCTCGAAACTTGATGTTTTTAAAAACAATATCAGTTTTTTAACAAGAATCATTGTAGGGAAACTAGGGCAAAAAACGAGATTTCTTTCTCTGAAATCTTATTGTCTTGTACATGGTTCGACATAACTTCGACGTAAAACAAACATGCATTCATATACGCAGAGTGCCAATGTTTTATGTGTAGAGGAATGTTTGTGTAAAGCATTTTAAAAAGATAGTATTTCAGTAGTTTTAGAAGGATTTAGCTGGTTTTTTGATATTTTTTTGTATTCATAATGAAACGAGGAAACCTACGCTACGTTCTAGACAATTTGGTTTGTTTGCTAGTTTTTTAAATAAAAGTTAGAACATTCTTCTATCAAATGTAAAAAATTGAGTTGATTCAGTTAGGAACTTGCAGAGATATTATTTTAATTTTTAATGTAAAAGTGAGTTTTGAAACAGTCTGTTGAATAAGCATAATGCCACTATCACCGAGTATTTATAAGTTCTTCTCTATTTGCTTGTTCAGTGATGTCGTCGTTCGTTTTCATTTTAAAGTCTTTTGGTGGGTATGAACCATGTTCACGTCGAATCCAATGTTGTTCACATGCGGTAAATTTTGGTTTTTCCGATAACCATATACCGTACGGCGGTAATACGCCGATACCATGCGGACGATCGATAAGACTTTGGCCTAATTCCAGAAATCTTAGATTGTTACTATCATTTTCGTAGTCAACAGCACTCTTAACACCAGAACGTGGAAAACAAAAATCACAGAAACAGTTATGATGACGTGATTTTTCCATGGGCACGAGTGGCGGTGGCAGCAGGAGGGAAGGAGATACAAGCCTTTCTGGTGGAGATGGTAGAGCTAAAATGTTTCCAAGTATAGGAAGACTGCATCGATCTATTAGCAGAAATGTTAGCTGATCCGAAGGCGTCGTTGTTGCGACGCCCTCACCCAGGAAAATCACGTATTACTTCTCACAATATGCAAAAGTGTACGTGCAAGCGTTAAGACCTTACATACGTTTTAAAGCATAAAACATTATAAATTCGAAAGAAAATCGAAGGTCTCTAGATGTTGTCAGAGCTGAGAAATCTTTATTTTAATTTTACAGAAAACTAGCATCATTTTGTACCTATTCTTACTTAGCTTTCGAATTAAGCTTTTTTTTTGATCTTTCAGAATATAAGCAAGAATATATCGCTTAAAGTTTTCTATTTATACTCGATTGTTCTGTATAATTTGTTTAATTAGACTGGCGTAATGAATTTATTAAAAGTAGCAAATGCTCTGAAAAACTACCCATGTGATGAAAATCGCGGAAAAATCGACGATTTTATCGCGATTTACGGACCGATTAATTGTGCGCTTTATCGCGATAAAATCGACCAGTTTGCCGATTTTTTCAACTTATCAGCCAGTAAAATATGAGGCTGAAACTTCTATGCTATAGCATACGACACCTATTATTAAATCGGTTCGAGCTCAACAAATCCCTCATAATAGCTATTTTCTCTTTCTCTGAGTTGAAAAATATTAAGTTAAGTAAATAACTGATTTAGCCGTAATTTAGCGTCAATATAACAAAATCGCCGATTAATTGCGATTAACTAGCGATATTTTTGATAATGGTGATAAATCGTGGTTTCTGGAAAAATTATCAATTAATCGCCATTAATCGGCGATTCTTTGTCGAAATCGCGATTAATCATCCAAACCGAAGCGATTTCGAGGACATGGGTAACGCGGTACTTTTTGTAGGTAGCGATTCTACTTTTTTTTAAGCTAAACCTTTGCCATATCTGCCATTTCAAGAAATCTGAAATATCTCGGATGGTAGAATAAAATAAAAAAGGAAAATAATTGTTCTCTAGTTTCAGTTCTTAAACTTGAAGAGATATAACTGAAATAGCCTTTTTCACACGTTTGGAAGGAAAAAAACACGTAGAATATTCGATAAACATGCAGAAAAATAATTTCGAAATATTTCTACTGTATGGTTGTAAGAGGACGTTCATATTATAATGTAACTTAGCATTCCTCTAAACATGCCCTGTTGAATTGTGCCGCAGACTACAGCAGTGCCTTTGCTCTCATTACGTAGCCCACCTTTCCTCAAAAGCAGTTTCGATGGACTGAATCAGTGTCATATATGTTGTTTATAGATAGGATAAACACCATATTCGAACTCAGTATTAAAACTTACCCATAGGAAACAAACTTTTTCTTGAAAAGTATGATTATAAATCTCAGAATATGGCGAAAGCCCCTTGCGCAATCGCTCTTTTTTCTTTTTCAATAAAAAGCTTAAATTAAAAATAAAATCTCAGAAAAACAGCATTTATATCTCAACATCGCCACAACTAGAGTCCTGTGATTTCTCCGAAATCTATAATTTTTTTAAGCTTTACAAACTCTGTAAGATCTCGAGGTTAGCACATACACTATTGTATATCGTGACAGATTATATAGAGCTTCATCAGGCGACTTTGGTGATTTTTTCAAAACTCGGGCAGTTTTTCATACAAAAAACTTCGATCAACCACCGCAGTATGGCAAAAATAAGTTAAACAAATAACTTACGACGTTCTCGTGGTACTGGAGTTTGAGTTCTTAGACGGCTAAATGACAAAAAAGTGATGTGATAATTATAATTTACAGAATCTTCAGTATTCTCTGAAAATTTGTTTCAGTTCAGCTGAATTCTACGGTCATATGAGTTAACGTTTTTCAGTGAACTGAATGAGTAAGTTCAATCGTCAGTATCTGTAGGAAAGCACTTTTATGGTACAAAAGACGTCTTTTTTACGTACTTATCGGCATGAATCTTCTTTGTAAAAGTATACATTGCGTTGTAAGTAAAAGACGTATAAAAAAAATTACTCACAGTGAGGGAGTTGTTTCCATTAATCTTACGCCGGGTAAATCGGGTACGCGATCTTCGATTTTTTTTGCGCAAACGAGTTGATGCAAACAAATTCCCAATCCGACAACAAATATTACACCACCAACAATAAAACCGATTAAGGTTAAGTCCAGATCGATACACTAGATAAGTTTTACTCAGACAAGCGATCCATTTGTCGGTTTCGATTGAGCAACTAAGATATAAAGCGCCAAACTTTCAGTATATTATGATGAATTGTGCTAAGACATATTTTCTTGCTCATTTCAGTTCATATGTTCAAAATTTCAAGTCGTTCACTCTTTTCCATGCTTATGCACACTTTCAAATTTTCGAAACATCGCAAAAAAAATGCTTCAACTTCGAGAAACTAATTCATAGTAGTTTTGTACGACTGAAAAACTGAGCTTTCATTTTTCACAGAGCGTCAGCAATCACGATCCGGATCAGCTCGACTTCATGATTTACAACAAACATACACAAAGACGTTCTATCTCTGCGATACATTTTTTTGTCCACTACAAGTGATAATGTATCCTTGATTCACTAAACAGTTGTTAACTATTCTGAGTCATCACGATAAAGTAAACAGTACTATTCGCTCTGTTCCTCTCTTTGTGTTCATAATGGTATATCTAAAAAATCAGTTCTAGTTCCAGCTAAAATTTTATTTCACGTTTTTAGCCACATTTATGTTCATATCTACATTATTCTATTCCTTCGCTAAACCACCCCCCTCATATTAGAAGCCCGCCCCATAATAGAAGCCCACCCGCATTAGAAGCCCAGTCTGGCAAGAAATTTTTTGAAAATTGCCCCTGCCCCCATAGGGTACTTTTTGAGAAAATTTTGCCTTTCTTGCGGGACATAATAGAAGCCCACTGGGCTTCAAATGTGGACGGGGGTTTATATCTCGTTTACAATATGAATGTTATGTAATCGCCTATTTTATGCCTTTTCCTTTTTATCGAGTTTTCAATTTCACTTTTAAATTTATCTCGGTAATTGAATCATCTCTTCTCTACCATGTTTTTCTACTATCCGCTTCCACCACAAATGGTATATATATACACAAATTTCGATGATTAAAGTTATATTTTCACATTCAAGTTCATAGAATCCTATGTTTATAATACTTTTCTCGAAGTTTGAGCACAGTATTGTTCGAAACGTGGACATAGATCAAATTCATTAGTTAAAATATATATCTTAAATGAGTTGTTGTGATAATTACATTTATTTAGTTTAATTTTTTAGTAAAATTTATTTTTTCTTCTCCAATTGTTCTTTCCTTCGTGAGTGTCCATCGATCATTTTTTTTCTCGATTTTATATGACCATTTTCTTCTACGATCTCTGTCACTCTTCCATCTTCTTCTACACGAGTTGTTGTCACACGTTTACCATTCACAATTTGTGTTGTACGAATTATCTGGCGTATACCCATGGATGTAGATTCTCGTCCGCTACTGTTAGATGCTACTCCATTCATCAATGTTGACATAAAATTAAATAAACCTTTATCAATATTGGTATGTTGAGCTGTTCGAGCAGAGAATAATGTCGGTTGAAACACCGTAAATGATCCGAAATTTGAAGCTGGAAATGGAGAAATGCTTAAAAAATTTTAAATAGAACGATCGATCAAATAGCACTTCTCAAATCATTTCTTCGAAAAGAGTTGGGTGATCGATAGTATTCTGATCCCGTTTCTGTAAATAATAATAGTTAGTTAAGCCATCACTTTTAATAGCAATAAAATACGAGTTGTGACAGAACAATTATTTTCATATACAGAACAACTGAAACTAAATACATTTTCCCATAACTCTTCTGACTTTCTGCGACCTTGCACGCGTTTTACCCAGTGGCGTTCATTCTTTCACAAGATTAAAGACAACTAGTCCCCCTTCCTGAAATCGCGCTCAAGAGAAACGTACATATAAAATAAAGGAAAAATTGTATTATCATGTTAGAACTGCACCCTTTCTGGTATGATTAGAGCCTCCTCTACAATTTACAACGATTATTAGCAAATTATTTAAGTAAAGCCTCACTGTTATTATAATACTTTACAGCGTTTGAAACTCTAAATAAAAAACTTAAGGTTTTCTGATTTTTTTCAACTCAGAGTTAACCCCACTCGACATTATTTATTTGAGACAGTTTGCCTTAAGCACACTACTGATATTAGTGAATCGTTAGTACTAATAGATCTTCTATCCTCACTTTCCGTTTTTGTTCGTTGATTTGAAAAATCTTGTCCAAATATTTCTTGAAATATATCAGATGGGTCACGAAAACGATAAATTGTCGGTCTACCATTCATCCTCATATTTTTAAACATTGCCGGACCAAATCCACTTCTTCCATCACTGCTTGACTTTGTTCTTGCATGTCCTTGCAATCCTTCGTATCCATATCGATCATAAATTGTTTTCTGATTTTCATCGGTCAACACTTCATACGCTTCGGCTATTTCTTTAAATTTTTCCCCTGCAACTACTTTATTATCTGGATTTTTATCCGGATGATATTTCAATGCCAAACGTCGATATGCTTTCTTGATATCATCGTCAGTTGCCGAAGGAGATAATTCTAAAATTTTATAGAAAGCTTTATTCATTTCAAACGTATTAACTCATTTCGTATCTCACATTCAAAATTCAACAAAAAAAACAAATAAAAAAATATTTTATGTTAGAAATATTCGTATTGGCGCTGTTGAAATACGTCATGAGAAAAATTAGTTGTAAATCTCTTAAAATATTGCTATCGCAAGACAACCTAAAAGAAGTTAAATTAATATTTGTCCAATATCTGAAAAATTCAAACAAGATACGCTTCGGTCGAGCATATAAAACAGCTATATAGCCTGTTCTCTCTCTCACGAAGAAAATTCTTCAGATATCCAGCGTTTTTTATATAACTTTGGCAAGGTGGGGGAAGTTTTATGGGGCAGCTCTAAAAATTTAGCTGATAGCTAAAGAAAAGGCTTTTAACTTTTCGAAGTAATTTTTGTTTTAGTAGGAGTAAATTTTTTAAAATGACGGAGTAATTTTTTTCAAACAAGGTGGGGCGTCCCCACCTAATCAAAAACGCTGCAGATACCTTTCAAGATTTGAATGATATATATAATCAGTTCAATAAAGCTCGACGTGTGAACAACGATGGTACAAAGCATTCATTATTACGTTATTATGACTTTTAATTCTGAAGTTATTCGATCCTTAATAATAAGCACAGCTAATTTTGCTCCATGTTGAAACTTAGGTGATCATTTGTTGATCAAAATGTAATCAGTACGATCTGAGAAACAGCTAGTTATCGACAAGATCTGTGAGATCGAGTTGAGTAATTATATCAAAGAAAGTTTATTTTTTATTCCAGTTTTGAAAGAGTCACAGACTGAGCTTTACTCGAAAAATACTTTTCTAAGTTTTCACGTCTTTTTTCTTGAAGTTGCACAGTGGATAGGCGAGAAATAGCATGCTTCAAAATATGATAGATCTGTTTCGGTTCTAAGTTAAAACGAAAAAAAATTATTAGAGGATCAGAGATCGCAAATTATTTGAATAGTTGGCATGCTATTTTCTGTACAGATCTATTTTTCTCAGTTTGACCAAAAATGTGACGAGTCGTATTCATCAGAAGATCGTATGTTCGCGCAATTTAGATAAAATATTCCTTGCAACAGCCTCGCTAAGCCTTCAGCACTTACTGAGACGTCTTTATAAGTTTTACGCAAGCAGTATATGTTTAGTTTAAACTATATTTATTATAAGTAGTATATGTTTGCCTCCTTTTATGTATCAAAAACAACAATATAGTGTATGATTATATAGTTAATGTATTTTTTAGGTAAAATACCTAGTGAATAAAGTTTGGCGTGTTTAATATATGTACATTTTTAAAAGAAAAACTAAAAATTGACTGAGAATTATAGAATAAAGTTCATTATTTAAATATTGGATTATTATTATTACATAATTTTCCACCTATTAGCCGCCTTATTTGCTCTGATGAACCTTCTCGCTGTGAATACGTCAGATACGAAAAAAGACCATAACAACTATTGAAACGTTCTTTGTGGTACAAGACGCGAGTCCATTAGACAGTTACAAGCCACGAAACGATCTGCTATCAAATAGTGTAGTTATCATTTTCGATCTGTGATTGTCTGATATAAGATTCAAACGTTGTACGTAATGCCCGATCTAACAATAGTAAAGCGACAATGGTAAGAAATAAATCGATGGGTCGCATTCTTGATGATGTCGTCCAGTTATCATTTAATGACAGATATGGAATTTCCACAACGAGAACTGATTGTTGCGATAAATAATGGGCATTTGCTTTGCGTATATCAATATCTGCTGGTAGCGAGAATGTGCGTTTAAATTCTTTTGAAACAAAATCAGAGTCGTTCTCATCACTATCACTTACGTAATTGTCATTATGTTGTGAGACTGTTGTGATAGGGGCTGCAACGGCTGTTGTAGAAGAACCTCGAACTATATGTTTACCGCGAACAATTAAACGATTATGTTTTATGGAAACTTTGAGTTCCGAAGGAAGAAAACCGTCAACATGCATACGTAAACGAAAAATAGATGGTGGATGTGTTTCAGATGTCGACTGTTGTGTTGACTGATCCGGAATTATTGGTCTAGACGATTCTGCAGGAGCTGTATCATTATTATTTTGATTTTGCCTTGCTGTTATTACAAATCTTGTTACAGCAACGGGATAACTATTGCTTCGATTAAATATTGTAGTTGGTGATGGTATCGATGGTGATGGATGTATCATATATGGTGACATCATTGGCATATACGAGGAATGTGGAATATGTGGAGGATAAGACATGCTAGGATGAAAATATGATGGTGGCGTTGAATAATCGTCATCATCATCTTCTTCTTGCTCGTTTGAAGTTACAACTATAATTGGTTGAACATGCGTGGTTTCAGTAGACGAAAACGGAAAATATGGCATCATTGTCAATCACATATCTAAGTACTCAAACAAAAAAATCTTTTAATCTAAAAGCACTCGCACTTAACCCTTAAAGCGTTAGTGAGAGATTACTGTACACTAGCGCATAACTTGAAACAGATTGAATTTGAATCAAATAAGTTTAATTTTATGGATTTTATTGGATTATAGATATCAGGATCAATATTCCACTTTGTGAAAAGATTGACAGACAGTTATTTGATCTTTTTATTTGTCTACAAGGGTGAAGAGAATAGGGCAGGGAAATACGCACTAATACGTGACGCTTCGAAAATTTATTTTCAATTTATGGTCGCAACTGGATCTAGATTGAAGTGGTGCGAATTTATCAGTCTTATATAACTGACCTGGTTGAAACTCTGCTCTCAATCATAAACCGATTTTCAAATGTTTTCAGATATAGTATCAACTCTCTTCACAATCAAAAAGATTGTTGTAAACTACATAGATCACAGAAGGTATTAAATTGCTAATGCTTAGTATATAACTGTATAACTTTAGAAAATTAATCGACAACTTCTATAGACGATATACTTGTTAAAGATTTCATATAATGACTCAACGTCTAAAGAAATTTGTAATACCCATCTACGCAATAGAATTACATATTTTCAAACAATGATGACATATTTCGATGAGGAAATGTGAAAGACAATAAATGTCCTGCAATAAGTCGACACACACACACGCACATAAATAAAGCGGTGTAAACTGAAGAACAGAACAAAAAATTGAGTAGATGCATGTTTCTATCTCACGGTAGTGTTTTCTTTTTCTTTGCATTGTTGTTTCTCTCTTTGAATATGCGTGAATAATTATCATCAGTTATACTGTCTTGTCTCTTATACTACATAAAAATGGTTAGTGACATTTTTTTTCAAAGGGTACAATGAGAAAAAAATACCCAGAAATTTTGGTATTATATACTGTACAATTTCATATTCATGCAGAGAACCCGTGAGAAAAAGAAAGAAAAAGAAGGCTACAGAACATAAAAAATTATGTTATATCTTTCGAAGACATAGTAATTTTACTATAGTCCTGTGTAGACGATATTGCTGAAAAATAAAGCTATTAAATTACAATTAACTACAAAGTCAGACTGTGTATCAGTTTTTCGAACAGAGTACCTTTACTATCATAAATTTGGATTTTTCTCTACAAATAGATTCGTATTGTCAAGTAGAAAAAATAATATTCATGAAGCCGAGTTCGAACAGAATATATCTCCGAATATCCACATTTACGCTTATGCAACGCTAAGATTTCTGTAAAATTTATTTCTTGATAACTTTGTGATAGATAATCGAAATATATTCATGGACTTCCGAGCCTACAAGTATCCATATAAAAGATACTTCATAGTAATAATACTTTTGATATTCAATAATAAAGCTAAGTTACTTACGTGATTTTTACAGATCTTTTAGTTTGTCAATCCTGTTTTATTCAGAACGGCAACGGCTAAATATAAGATCAGACTTTTCAGACTGTTTACTTTTAATTAATGTGTTTTAGCTAAACTTTTGATTTTACCATCTAATTAAGTATAAATAATTATTTTCTAAACACATGTTTTACAAATCACAATACGAAATAGTAGTACAGGATAAAATGACCAAAATGATTAGGCACACACTGTTTAAATATATCGAAGAAAATGTCAACATCACATGAAATAAAACACACGACAAATACGTGATTGCACTGGGAAACAAGAAAAGTGTATCACCTATGTTGCGAAACTCCGACGTTTAATTTGATATTGAAAGAGAGGAATGTAATTTTACAATGAAAAATAGTGAATTTTAAATATTCATTAGTAATCCGGACAAACACATTTCAGTAGGAATGTTACAGTATCGTACTAAAATTCTTCCTCGATTATCGAAATAGTTCTGAAGAGCAAATTTTGATTGTCTCTTACTCACTGCTTCGAATATGTATACGATTATTAGAGTGAGTGTTGTATATCAAATACAATATGAATAATGGAAGATACCGTGACGGTTGCATACATCGGAGTTTCACTTTTAGGTTCAAAAGATTTACACTAACAAACTTTTTATTTACAAATGAAACTGTTTTTCAAATCAAAATTTCAGTTATTTCTTGATAGAGACATAAGTATGAGAAAGATATATTTATGTTCATTTTGAACTCCTAAATAACGAGACAGTAAAAAAAGGAATTGATTGCGACTGATTCGACACTTTCAAAAGTCTTATGATGTAAGTTTTGTTGTTACAATAAAAATTATTAAATTTTAAGTTTAAGAATGAACTTAAACTAAATACAAACTGAAAACAATAAACGGCGGTCTTAAGTCAATAATAAAAAAAGTATTGATTTAGATCTGCGTTTAAATTGCTAAACAACATACCGAGAATCTGTACGAATAATAACATTTACAAAGTAGTTTTGTTTAAATTAAATAGTCTATAGAATGGTATCAAATTTCTAAACGTTGAATATTCTTTATCGTAAATCATCATCATCATCTAATTGGATTGGTTTCACTGAGGATGTGGTGGTCGTCGTTTGACTAGTTCTGAAATGATCACCTCCGCTATTACTCGATGTCACAGCTGCACCATCCTGCAACTTTGCTTTTGGTATGATCCATTTTTTCAATAAACGAACAAATTCATTATCAATTGCCATGAAAAATGGAATCTAAAGATAGAGAGAAATAAACAGAATAATAGATATTGACATCTAAGCTAAGTATCATACCTGACAGTTTTGACTTATTGAATCTGGATCATCTTGTTCAAATGATTCTATTAATGTGTGTATATTTTGTGTTTCTTCCCATTCGGCAAATGTTGGATATTCTTGATAAAAATGATCAAATAAATTTTTCGCTGCTACAAAATCATCCATAAATAATTTTATTAAAATACGGTAGAGTAAAACACGATTTAAACGATCATAACGTTCCATTTTCGCAAGAATGTCTGAACATTTTTCCAATAATTCACTCGTTTGTGGAAAATTTTGCGGTTGAACACGTATTGATTGCAATGCTGCTTTTTCGTACAAATCTGATGCTTGATGTGTTTTATCATCGACTTCGGCTATACGTGCACCTTTCGCATAGAAATCAATAGCTATTGAACGATCGAAATTTTGAAATATTGGAGCACTACGTTCATACAATATCGCAGCTGAATCACGTTGACCTAAAAGTAAAATATAACACGTTTATTTGTTTGTTAAATAGACAGAGATTTTTTGTACTAACCCTCACTTAACAGTTGTCCAGCCTTATCAAAATATTTTGCAGCCTGTGTCAAATCGTTCAATTGTTGAGCACAAGTGGCTGCTTGTTCGTACGATTTAGCAGCAAAAAATGTTGAACCCTTTTTGAGTTGTAATTCAGAATTTCTTAACGAAATTTCAAGACATTTATCGTACGCATCTGCAACACGATAACAGGTTGTTGCTTTTTCTAATTCATTAATAGCACTATCCAAATCGGGTTTCCATTTTGTCAATGATGTTTTTAAATATTTGTCAGCTTGACGTACATGCTCTTCCGCTTCTTTGATCTTATGAGAAAAATTAAAATTCATTATCTAAGAAAAACAAACAAATCATTTTGAATTAGAATTAGCGAGACAGAGACAAGAGATCTATAAAAATTCTTCGATTAGATCATTGTGGTTAGTAAAACAGATTAGTACCGTTTAGAATATAAGTTCTTTTTAATTACTGTATGATTCATCTTACAGGTAACAACTCAAGTCTAATTAGAAGTTAAAACGAAAAAATTAACTAACTGTAATTAACTTAAGATCAAAATAAAATGGTTTAAATTGCGTTAATAAACATTAGTATGCTGGAATTCTACCCATTGTTATTCCTATGCCACGTTGTGCAACATCTTGAACAAGAGCAAGAAAATAAATAGGTATTCTTTTCACAGCAGTAATGTATGTGCCATATATAAAAAGCGTGTATCTTTACTATTATGCCATCCAAAATGGTGAGAACCAAATAAATAATACGACGCTTTAAGGTAAATAAAAATAGAGGGCACAAACAGAATCCAGTTCAAAGGCAGCAGTGTCAAAAACATGGTTTTATATCTCATGGCATATGAACTAGAAGAAAGTACCAACCAAAACGTGAAATAAACCTCCAAAGTTATAAAAATTAAATAAAGTTTATACCCGACAAAAAAGTTATCCAGCGTTAAATAATCACGGTACATATCATAGACATTTGTTTCTCTCACACAGAAAATACGGAAATTGAAGAGAGTTGCTCTTCCAACACCTGTCAGAAACATAGATATGAGGGCGCTAGTGGTTGGGTGTGTAGTTTTTAGAGAAACTTGAGGCTCACCAAAACATGAAAGTGAGTAGAGATTGAGGAATTGATTTCAGCAGCGTCTATTTCCGCTTGAAGGTTTGAAGTATAAAGCCTCATCTGCCACTTTGTACCCTCCTAGTAAAGAAATCCCAGATAGATTTCACAGATACCCTAATCCACTTTTCCTGATGAAATCTCCGGTGAACCCCCGATAAAACGTGAAATCCCTAGGAAGTTTCCGGAAAATCCCTGATGAGTCCCTGATCTTTAGGAGCCATTGTACGGAAACAACGACCAGTTTCCTTGTGCGATGCTCAATCGATGTTCGACCCTTTGGCTCAGATTCCTATGTGTAGTAGAGGCAACATATTCAGGAAGATTCCCAAAACTTTTTGACTAGATGATATTTCGTTTTGGACTTATAGCATTTTGCGTAAAAGCCCTAAAAACTGCCCAAAACAGCATGTACAGAAAACTGCATTTTGCAGCCGTCATATTTCGGTCTACGCATCAGAGCTAGAGCTCGTGCTTGCAGCATAAGTGGTATAGGTCGAATACTACCTTCACCCAAAAACATATGTGGATTCGGTCTTCGCACGTGTGCGAAATCGTACCTGCAAAATTGGAAAATATTAATAATGGTTGTACTTTTTGGCTAAATTCTTCTATGAAAAGTTAAAGTATTGGCTAAACACGAGTTTCACTGCACAAAACGCATGTTGCTCTACTCAGATTTATAGCTTTGATCTGAAAAAGGTAGTTCATTAGGGGTGCAGGTCATCTCGAAGTTCAGAGAAAGTGAAAATGGAGCATTTTAAAAATTTTTAAGCACGAGCTCTAGCTCTGCTGCGTAGACCGAAATATAACGGCTGCAAAATGCAGTTTTCTGCACATGCTGTTTTTAGCAGCTTTTAGGGCTTTTACGAAAAATGCTATAAGTCCAAAACGAAATATTATCTAGTCAAAAAGTTTTGGGAACCTTCCTAAATGTGTTGCCGCTATCTGCTGTCAAAGTTTGGTTCATCAGTTGAGCAGCTTAGGTCGTGCCTACCGTGCAACGCCTCTTATGTTGCATGATTCATCATCAAGTAGAGTAAAGTATCGAATTGAAACCGAAAATAGAGTTGTGTAACTTGTGACTTTAGTATCTCAGTGAGTTTTGAATCAAATTTGAGGGCTTTTGTAGCTGAAAGTCTCAGCTATTTAATGATCTAATTTAATGATTCAGAAATTCCCGTGAGAAACGGATCAAAGAGGTTTAGTTTCCATTAGACTGTGTCGAATTGGAACCGTCCAGTTCACATTGCATGGGTTTTCAACGTTCCAGTAAAAACTACTTTTTAGAAAACTTTATGAGACAGGTTAAATTTTTCTTATACAATCATGTTCAGTAGATCGAGCCTCGTCGAATAGAACTATTTCGAGATCGGTACGTCTAAAATTGACCAAGTTATACTCACAGAACTTTACTGTATGGAAAAACGAGGCAGTGAGCCTAATTGGAACCACGCAGCGCAATGTAGGTGTAATTGGAACCGCCTCATTTGAATTACACGGGTTTTTAACCTTTTACCAAAACCTATTTTCTCCAATATTTAACAGAATATTGTGAAAAATATTCTGAACCATTGATAAATATTGTGCTAAAGTTGAGAAGCCAATTCACACAAATATTATAAGGATAAGTAATATTTTGACAATAAGTCATAAAAGCCAGTTGTTTTCCACAACAATGTTTTGAGTCTTTATTCACTAGTATCCATAAAAATAAAAAACAACAACACTACAAAAATTCAGTGTTAAGTTTTTTTTGCAAATTTTTTCCGTTTTGACTTCAAAGCGTTCGTGGAATAAGACGATGAAGATATTGTTGTGGCTGGTAATGTTGATGTCATAGAATCAGACTTAATTTCACTGACAGGAGTCTCATCGGCCGTTACTTTTGCTGATTGCAGAACTTCATCAATTTCGACAACTTCAAACTTTGTTCTTGAACCAAATCGGGATCGAACTAAAAAAATAAAATATATAGTTTAGTTGAAAAACAGATAAAATTGTAGGTTGGTAAAGACCATTAGATGGAAAATCTCTATTTGTTTTACTAATCTTTTCTTATATCTATTCTTTAGAATATATTACCAATAGAGTTACATTTATGTTTTTTTCTCTTTTACATAGTCAACCGACACAAACAGTTACGAAAGTTTCGTAAAGTTCTATCTTCTACATACTCTAGAAAAAATTTGGCTTATACTCTTCTTCTTTCTATTGTATTCGTCTTATTTTAAGACATTTGTTTCTGTAGGCCGTTCTTCAGTCTTACTTCGATAATTGCCGAAGAATCTCTTTCGTTTTGCGTTCGTCACTCGTATATAAAGAACGATGATTTCTTTGAATAAGTCCGCTCCTGATTAGTGGGATACATCCATCTTATTTGAACACGCAGTCCTTTTTAGGGTTCAAGTATTTAAGTAATTCAATTAGACAATTACAACTTCTGTTATTCAATATTCGAAAATCATTACCATCTGCATTTTCTGTACAATCCCAGATTGTTACGCCCTTTGCATGTCCACCAAATGCAAATGTAAACGGATAATCAGGATTCACTAGACACGTATTGATTTGTCCCTGGAAACATGATAAAACAAGCTCAGCATTTATATGAACGTGCAATATACTTAGTTAACTTACTGATTGAAATTTTCTTTCAGCTATATATGATACCTGTCCATTGTCAATATCCCATATTTTTAATGTTTCATCAAATGATGATGTTAAAAGAAAACCGGGTACAGAATTCATACATAAACCTTAAATAATAATCCACAATAACAAAAAAAGAACTAGAAACTACTATTCGTTTCAAAATATAGTGTATACTCACTTGGTTTTTGAATAACTTAGGAATAAAAAGTGATAAAGACTTGCGGTTTTCGTTCATTAGTCGATAGCTAAACTTTTAGCCATATTTTTCTAAGCTGAAACATTTTCAACAAAAATTTCAAAGGTCAGTTTTGTCGAAGATTTTTGAAAAACCAGTTCGAATTTCTGCAGATTGATATAGCAACCTCTCGATTTTTCTTCATCGACGGAGAAGAGTGTCTTCTACAAAATGAGATTCAAGCGACGTCGTCCAAAACCTATGGTTCAGTCAGAAACACGGTTTTTCCAAGACCATCAGGATCGGATCTTCCTTTTCTCCAGTAATCTCAAAAACACGTGGTACATAGGCAATCTATGCTTGTGGCAATGTTTCTTTTGTTACGGAATGTGGAATAACCCTGAGTGGTGAATTTTTTTGGGTCAATTACCGTGTAAAATTAAAAAACTTATAGCGTCATTGTTTTTCATCCAAATTATTTGAAACTTTCATGGTGAATA